AAGCGCTGCCTGTCAGGGGGTGCACGTGCACCCCCATGCATCACCTATGCATTGCCACTGTTTGTTGCAATTTAAGCCTACTGCTTGTTGTCTTGTCTATTATATAGAAATCACTATAAATCTCAGGTCTTCTTCTGACCTGCTGCATCCTAGTAAATCATTCTATGGTGCATACTTGTGCATGGGATTGTTCTATTCTAAGTACAGGGCTTTGCACTCATAGTTACTGAATTTCATTCAATTAATTTTGCACCGTTTTCCAGTTTAACAAAGTTATTCTGAATCCTAATAATATCCTCCAAAGTGTTAGTCATTTAAAGCATCACTTGACTATTGTGGTCAGTTCTAGGCAATGCATTTTGACAGCTGTGAACAAATAGGAAAGCGCAGAGAAGAGCAAGAAAACTGAATAAAAGCTTAGAAAAGTAGACATGTGGAAAGGATGAAATAATTAGAATTATTTACTCTAAAGAAGAGAAGACTGAAATTTGGCAATAGTTTTCAAAAGCAAAAAAGGGTTGATATAAAGAGAATAATGATCAATTCTTGTCTGTGTTCACAGTGGACAGGATAAGTATCAAAAGCTGAACGAACCAACAGTATACTTTTGTTTTACAAAATTGGCAATACCACACTGCCTTAATTAAAATGAAAAAAAAACCAACACAAAGCAATAGCATGCTGGGCTGCATTAACAAGAATGTCATTTGCAAGGCAAGAGAAACTGTACTTGGCACCTGGTATGATTTTACCTGGTGTTCTGTTCTGGGCAATGGACTTCAAGATAGACATGGATAAATTGGGAAGAGTCAATCAGGGAGTAACAAAATGATTAGAAGTCTAGGAAACATGACAAAAAAGTTGGAAGAACTGGGGTTAGATTAGAGAAGACCAAGGGAAGATGTATTAACAGTCTTCAAATATCGGAACGGTGGTTATGAAGAGAATGGTAATAGACTTTTTTGCAAAGAGTAATGATGTTAAATTGCAAGATGGGAAATTTAGCTTAGATATTAGGAAAAGCTCTCTCACTTTCCAGTGGTTAAGCACTAGAACAGGCTACTCAGGGAGGTGGTGAAAGTTTTTAAGAGCAACTTAGACAACCACTTGTCTAGGATGACCCTGCCTTAAACAGAGAGCTAGATTAGATGACTCCCTGAGATCTCTTCCAGCCCTATTCTTCTGGGATTCTAAAATATGAGCACACCTTTCTTCCTAGAGTAAGTGTACTCACAAAGTACAGTTCCATCCTTAACAAGGAATATAACAATGGTGTATGAAGTAAGGAGTCTGTGTTTCTTTTTTTCCCCAAGAAGTTCTGATAAAATTACCTTAGTATTTTTTTAAATTGTTGTCAGTGTTTAAAACTCAACCAGAAATTGAAGCTGAATTCTTTCTAACTTACCACCAGGCATTAACAAACTTTACCAGTTTAAGTTCTAGTCTTCCTTTGTATTTGCAACTCAAGTGTCTTCAACTGACATGCCTAATTAATTTTATGCACTCTTCAGTGGATTTACAGACAATTTTAAAAGATGGAAATTAAAGGAAGAATTCTCAATTAGGCCCCAAAAGGAGTAGTATTCATCTTAGTCTCTTAGCTGTATTGATTCTACAGTACTAAAAAGAATAATAATAATAATAATAAAACTTTTTTCATTACAGGAAGTAGATACAGAATTATATCAGCTGCCTATAGAAAATAATTCAGAATGTTAAAGTATAGGTGACCCTCACCATTCGCAGGGGATACGTTCTCATACCCCCCGTGAATGGCAAAATCCATGAATAAGGCACTATGTTCATAAGTGCAGTCTACGTTCATGAATGCAGTGCCCCTGGCAGCTGGTGGGGGATGGGGACACAGCTCTGGTGGGAGCCCAGCAGTGGCAGCAGGAGCTGAGCATTGGTGGTAGGAGGCCAGCAGTGGTGGCAGAAGGCCAGCAGCGGTGGCGGGAGCCCAGGGGCAGCAAACGCAGAGTTCACAAGGAGCTCCTGTAAGTGCATAAAATGTATTTAAAATGCAGGTTCAGCATTCGTGAATTTTTGAAACAGCGAATGCCGAACCCACGAATAGCGAGGGTTTCCTGTATACAGTAAGAATTGTTTAATTCCACAATGAGAATTTGCCCATTTTATGAATGATTTTAGATATACAGGATTACTCTGCAATTTTTTTCCTCCCTGCCTTAGAAACATGAAGGCAAGGTGGTCATTTTCTTAGGATTTTTTTTTACTTTATATTATTTCTTGAATACAGCACAAAAAAGGACCATTATTGAAGATGCAAAGAAGTCTCAGAATTTTTTTTTGCCTATTTTAAAGTGTAACTATATACCTAAAGACTTTTCAAGGTATGTTTCTTACAGGAAAGGGCATCCCCTGATGTAATCTATTGTGGAATTCAATCAAGGCATGATAGGTCCTAGTTCATTTTCCAGAATTTACTACCAGGTCACAGTTTGATGTATTACTATAAGACTCAGGGTCTTTGGTAATCATCATGGGTTTTCCTTCATTTACTGCCTGGGCTATAGTTTGTTGCAACAGGGTATATAAGAATGAAAAGTGAAAAATATAATTACGATGCTACCTATAGTCAGCTCCATTAGAGAGATGCTTCTTTAACGTGGTATTTGTATGCATTAAAGATCAGAGTTAAAAATGTAGCTTTGCTCTATTTGTAGATTTCTGATTTTTCTGATAGCAAAACATCAAAGGATAGATATCCACTGACAAGGAATGACAAAGTGGTAAAAAAACAAAGTTAGGTGAATCGGAAGAAAAAAATTGAGATTCACAAGGAGCTGTTTTGCAAAAGGAGAGTGAAAAAAAAGAATAGAACACTAACCAATTGAAAGACCTGGAAAACCAAATGTCATGTTTGAGTGCCAAGAAAAAAATGTACAGAATAGTAGAAGTCACAGATGAGACAGAAAGCACATGTACTCTATGACAAGAGCTGTTAGGAGACTTATGTGATACATCTTAACAATTCAGAGGAAAAATAATGACTCTTCCAAAGAAGAAAGAGGATAGTATTTGTACACGGATTAATCTATGAAGCTCTCTGTACCTATTAGTTTTATTTTTATTATCCTCTCTTCTATAGCCATTATCCTTTTCTTTTAGGCCTGGTTTTGACTAAGATTTCTGCCATAATATAAAAATATGCATCAACATCGTGACAAACAAAGCCACACTGTGATTTAAGAAAAAGCCACCTTGCAATCTACAGTTTCTCTACCCACAGTTCCCCTTAACAGCATTATTAATTTCAGGAACAGAAAAAACTTAGGCAGCACAAGATGCCTGGCATTTTTCACCATGTTTCTCCTTCCTTTCTTCTAGAAGCAAATCTGCATGTGTCCTGTACTTACTTGTAACTATATTTGCATTCAAGTCTGTCATTTCACATTGTATTTCTTAGATTTCCTTTTTTTTCTGAGTAAAAATAGCCTAATTTATTTATGTCTAGTAGATAAGATGAATAACCTCCTACAATGTAGGCACCAGATTCAATCCTTGAAATAACTAGCTTTTATATATTTTTATTTTACTTAAATTACAGGATGTAAAATTCCTACCCCATGCATAGTGTTATACTACAGAAGAATTAATGGGAATTTTCAAACCGTGATGTGGCTCCATGTCCTGTTATAAAGATAAAAATACTCAACTGTGCAACATTATTTCTTCCCCTCCCTCACAAATGATACAGTAACATTTTTTTCTAAATTCTGATCTCTTAGTTCAGCAGCATAGTTGTACACTAACATACCAACAAGCCAGCTACGATTTAGATCTGTCCATTTTATATATTAGGGAATATACTAGGGAAAAACTGAAAAAAATTCATAGCATTGCTTAGACCAGTAACAGGGGCAAGGGACAGAAGTTACACATAAACTGGTTTAAGTCATCAGAAACTGGTTTAAACCTGTAATAGAACAGAAGTTCAGTGCACAGAAACTAGTTTCAAAATGACTGAAATTGATTTAAGATAAACCTGGTAGAATGTAGTATCAGACTGAACTGATTTGGATCAAACTGTTTTATGAAACTTCTGTCCCAGACCCCTTCCTGGTTCAAGTTAAATCACAGTCCCCCAGCATCCCAGCATGCTTTCCAGCCCAGGAACTGCCAAACCCCAGCTGGTGTCCTGGGGTCAGGAAGTGTGTGGGGGGGGGTTAAATCCCCCTTCCCCCAAATACAGAGCAACCCTGCTCTGCCCTGGCAAAAACTTACTGCTGGCTGCAACTGTGGACTACAAATTTCAGAGACACCTGGAAGCAGGAAGAGGAAGTGATGAGCAACACCTACAGAGTCCTGCTGCTGTAATTGTAGACTCTGAATCCCAGAGACCTCAGGGGCAGCAGGAAGAGGAAGCAAACATACAGCTCATGCTGGCTATGTGCTAAAGAGCCATGATCTAGTGCCCCCTGGCTTCTGGCCAGAACCGCTACAGGTATGGCTGCATTTCTGTCCAGTTGTTTCTCATTTTAATCTCTACATTTTAAACTAACCTGCAAAGACTGAATTGATTCAGCCTCAGGCTTTTTGCTGTCTGTACTTAGCTTGGCTGTCAACACCATTTTTAGAACTGTGTCAAAGAGTTGCTTCAAGCAGGGTTGAATAACATGATGCTTAAAACTGTTGCTGGCTATTGTCTGTATGTGTTTAAGTTACCACAAAAGCAGCAGAGTTTTGACCAATTTCCCTGTTATAGTTAAAGTTTTATTACAGAGATATTTGCAGAACTTTTTCTTTGCTAAGGTTACAAGAAAACATTAATGGTTTAATATAGCAATTTTTAAAAAATAACTAATATATACTATTTGCAAAGGTAAACTAAATTGCATCCAGCAGTGAGTGTTAAAATGCATAACATGATTTCAACATATTAAGCTACTTAGCAAAATTCTAGGACTGATTTTCCTACATAGTATCAAAACCTTAAATAATAATTTTTATAAAGGAAAATAAAAGTTGTCTCTTACTTGCAATATGATCATTCATTTCTTCTAGCCCAGTGTTAATTCCAGCATCTATGGAACTTATTATTTTATCAATCTGTAAGAAAGAAAATAGTAAAAATAATTCATGAGACTCATATATAGTATTTTATTACTTTTCAAGTAGCGAAAGTAGGGAATTGTTAATGTTACTGAGAAGACAACAGAATAATATAAAAGATCACAAAGAAAGATTTTAAAGGACACTAAACTTTTGTAGCCTGAATTTTATTTTGTAATGTTTTTACACTCTCTTACAAGCTTGAAATTAACATTTTTGCCTAACTATTTAGTTCCTTTCCTATTTAGAATTCTGCTTGTAGCACTATGCATTTGAAAATATTTTGCTATACTTTAAATGTATGCAATGTAAATGAGAAAAAGATACACACACACACACACACACACACACACACACACACACGTATTAAAATACATAACTTGTGACAATCAGAAACTTAATAGTTGCTGCTATGAAGGACAGATTTGTTTGATGATGTTTCTACATCATTAGTGGACTATATGAACAACAATGTTCATGGAGAAAAGTATTAGCTTTTGTCATAAAGTTACACCTCACTTGGTCATTTAACACTGCACAGATTTTGAATCTTCTTCTTCAAAGACTACTTATAGAAGATGGAAATATAACTGTTTGTACTATGGAATGCTATTGTTTATAAGACCATATTGCTTATGTTCATCCCAAGATGCCTTTATATGTTCGTTACTAGTATTAGAGCTACTGTGCTTACTGTATACTACTTTTTCTTAGGATAGACCATGAAGCAAAGTATAGGTCAAAGAGAGGCAAGATAGTAGTAAGAAATGGCAGGCCTTGTAGAAAATGTGGACAGAGAATCATTATGATTTGTTTTTGCTTTGATAACAGGAGTATTAGGAAACCTGAGTTTGTTTATTAACAGTATGATAATCAGTGATGACAAAATTCTGGAGATTATAAAAAAAAAAAGTCCTTGAAATCTGCAGTTTTAGAAGCACTATACAAATTATGGCCAAATCATCTTTCACTAAAGGTTTTTAATTTAACCTAATAAATTTCTGGATTACATTAAAATCTGCAGCAGGGATTGAAACAGTAATCTGAGCCTCTGCATCTTTCCTTCAAGAAAATCAGACCATTATGAGTCACCTTGCTACTACTCTATTAAATGAGCTTTAAAGGTGATTTACAAACAAAGTTTTATAATTTTAATTCTTTCTAAAATACAAGGAGGTTATGAAATCTTATAGGTAATCCAAAAAACAGGATTATAGTTATAGTGATATGACCGCATCTACATAATAGTAACAAAAAAGCACTCTATCCCCTCCTCCCAAATTAATTCACCTCAATAAAATAGAAAGGGAAAAAAAAGACTAGGGGACTGTGGCATCAACACCTACACAATCAAATGAGTCGCTAACTGGCTGGAGGGCTGCACCCAGAGAGTGGTGGTGGACGAGTCATTTTCAACCTGGAGGGATGTGGGTGGTGGGGTCCCTCAGGGCTCGGTCCTTGGGCCTGCACTGTTCAACATCTTCATCAGCA